TCTTAAAGAATTATCTCTTGGTCGACCACTCTGTAAAAATTACGTTGTGAAATAAGACTGAGTACTTATGTGAATGTGAGAGTATGGATTGCGAAATGGTTCGTGTGAGATTTGTATGGTCACTTCCTAAAAAAGACCGTTTTCCAAGAATTTAGCGAGAATGGTTGATCTCGGTTGGAAGAATGGGAAGTTTCTCTTTCACCTGGGGCTGTATGCTATCCAGGTTTTTTTTTTCGTATTAAGATAGAAAAGTCCCTTTGGTTTCTTTCATGTTTTTCAAAAAGTTGTTTCTCTAATTTTTTACACTTTCACTTTTATCAAACACTTGCCTCATAACGTCCACCTTTTTTGAAGCCAATCTTTACGAAAAAAAAAATGAAATTCAAAAAGATTCCTTTCCTGCTTCTCTATAGGGGAAGGAGCATACGAATATTGGCAGTGTTCTTTATGTGACAACACCCCACCATGCTGGAGAAGGGGTTCTCTTAACGATTGTTGCCCTTGAATTGTGAATTTTTTCATATCTAGTGAAATCGCATCTTTCGTAGTATTGGTGTCAATTTTTTATCTGGAGTAGAAGCGTCTATTTGCTTCGTTTCGTTCATTAGCTGACTTCATGCAGGCAATGCCTCCTTAGAAACGACTTGCCTACCCACAAACATCTTTCTTTAGATGTTCATTTATTCACAAATACCCGTGTATACGCAGATATACGTATGTGCATACATTAAAACAGACATGCTCACGCACACACACACAGGCGCACACACAGACACACACATCCGCGCACGTCACTTTTGCCAAAGTACAAATTCAGTTCAACTCAATTGAAGCCGATGAACGTGAGGCCTCGATGTGGTTAGTGTGTGCATGGTTCTTACTGCTTAGTTTTTGTTATGTTTGGCTCTCTCTTTTCTCAACAGTTACTTTCTTATTTCTTGCTTAAGGAGAATATTTGCTACATTGATTACTTTTTGTGTGAGTTTTTTATATATGTAAACACACAAGTTCGATATGCGCACTTTAGAGGCATACTAGAAGCTATCGCTGAGGCAACCGTTATCGTCTTTAGCCTTTTTGCTATGAAAAACTTCCTTATTCAATTCATTTTTGAGAATGCAAGAGGTTCATGTTGGGGTACCGACAGGAGGCCCGTCGCGCGGCAAGAAGGCAGAGTCAGCGGACGAGTCGCAGCGCGTGATGTGCGATGTAGGACGTGCAATGGTACATTCTATTTAACTTGACGCGAAATCACCACAGTACGACTCGTCCGCTGACTCTGCCTTCTTGCCGCGCGACGGGCCTCCTGTCGGGTACTCTAAATGGGTGACTTTCTTGATTGCGCACTGTTTTTTCTCCTAATTTGGTTCCTATCCTTCTTTGCTGCAGTATCTTATCGCGCTATTCCATGCTTTTTATTCCGATTCCGAATTTCGATTACTCTAATGATATTCGTTCTTTGTTTGACCCTATACGATGATGCCAAGATGTGAACGACATTACTAGACGTTTCATATTGAAGGAGGTGATGCCACGCCGGCGCAATCCAGATGCGCCTACCGCTCCGAAAGCACCGCGCGTTCGCAAGAAGAAGGCCGAAGCGGATGTGGTGAAACAGGATTCGGCCGTCTATGAGCCGTTGATGCAATCGAATGGCATCATGATGGACGATGCCAGCATGTACACGCAGGATTTCGGCTTTGCGTTTGGTGCACAGCCGAATTTTACTAGTCCGGAGCAGGCGAACAGTCCATATATGCTGCCGCCACAAAGCAACACTCCGCAACCGTCTATGATGTGGGCACATGCACATTTTTAAATCCACAGATCTAGTAGTTTTTATTAAAAGCGGACAGCTTAGATTAAGGCTGAATTCTTTCATTTACATTCGATTTTTCTCGGCTGATAACATATCATAGTACAATTGTCGTTTCAGGATGCGACCGATGGCACCTCCTTCGCAACCAGGTGCGCAAATATCAGCTCCTGCCCAACCGCAGTCCATGAATGCCGTTCCGAGTCCCTTAGAGTTTCGTATCCATGAGATGAATCGCCGTCTATACATATTTAATTCTTCTGGGGTGAGTTTGGTTGTTTATTTTTTGAGTTTTTGCAGTTGAACATAAAGCTCTCACTCACGTAGTTCCTTCCTGTGCTGGGACTATGATAATCTCTTTCTCTCCTCATCTTAGCCTCATCTTGTTCATGTCAGTATGAATATCGCCAACGATCCCCACTTGACCACGATTTTATATTGGGGACTATTTGGAGTGCCATCGTATAAAGAAGCTTTCTTGGCCTTTCCTGGTGTATTTACTCCATTTCTGCATTTCTAACTTGCCCGTTTTCTCCATCCTATTACATTAGCTGTAAAACTACTGGATTCACTAAATCACTGATCGGTGTGCACGGCTTAGCTCCCCTTCTACTTGAACCGCCACCAAATTCTTTTGAATCTCAGGAAAACGTTACAATATAGTTTGTTTGTGAATTTCAAACTTTGAAATGATTTTCTGGTTTCCTAATTCAAAATTGTGGGGTAATGCTGCTGTATGCGCTGATCGCAAGTGCTACCCACCGTTTTAACAGTTGACAGTTTGGACAGTTACTTATGTGTCATTATTCTTCTTGTATCTTCTTGTATCATTACATTTCCTGTCGAAGTGGAATTTTAGCTGCATTGCTTTTCATTCAGATTACCTCTGAAACTATACTTAACACATTCCAGCTACATTTCTCCATCCTTCTCATTACCTTTTTTTTCAGATATGTGAAAAAGATTTTGCACAATGGTGGGACGCCTTCTCTCATGAGTTTTTCGATGATGATGCCAAATTATGGATAAATATTATTGATGAGCATAGTCCACACTCAGAGAAATATGGTAAATTGTTATTATTTCTTACAACTACGTTTTGTTTTTGATTTCTTGTTTCTATTAGGTTATAACACATTACGGGCCAGCATACTGCGAACATGATCGTGCCCTTTTTCCGATCCAGTCATCATGCTATCGATAAAAAGATGACCAACCGTTTATCAGTAGTTTTAATGTAATGAGGGATAGGCTCTTTTGCAGTCTTGAGAACATATGCGGTTAATATAATATCATGAGAAATGTCGAGTAAATCGTGTAAATTAATTCCCATTTGTGTGCTGGGATGCGCCATGTGGTGGCGCCACGTCCGCATTATGTTACCGATGAATAGTTAGTTTATTCCGAAAAAGAGTTCTTATCAGAAATCGTGTGTGGTGTTTCCACGTAACCAGGTTGTGTCGTGGACAAACCACTGTTTTCACTATATTTTAATAGTGAAAACTTCTTGTGCATTGATCAATTTGATATCTGTTTCAGTTTTGGGCCGACAACTTATACCTCGTTTCTTTCGCTCATTTTTCGAGAGCAAGATTAGAGAAATGTATTTCGTAATTCGTGGGCAAGCCCGTGAGTCTCAAGCACCGTCTGGTATGATCCATTACGAGAACCAGGATGTGCTTCAGGTCACGAAGCATGACGTTCCGAATGCAGAGGTATGTCGTCAACTATTGCTTGTTTTAATTTTTTTAAAGGCTCTTAATTAACTTGTTTTCAAATCACTCAACATGATCCACATAGTCCTGAAGAGGCCATTTTGCCCCTGTCTCAGTTTCAATCTTTTCGCCATCTTTCTTGTGGACCCGCACATTTTTCTTTGCCCTACGTTCAAACGTGTAGAACAGGATAGGCTTTAGGCAGATTGGGGATTTGGTAAAGGATTTCAGAGTTCTAGTAAGGTGGTCTTTCCATCGAAACCTGTACGGCGCAGCAGCATTACACAACATTCGTCATGACCAGGTTTCAGGAAGAGCGCGTATGAAAAAGGGGTTTTCGACCAAATGCCCATTAACTGATATCGTAGAAAATGTGAACGGGCAGTATTTATTGTTGTGATGAAAAACAAGTCAGACTTAGTTGTCAACAATCTCATTCAACATTTATTTCCGTGCAGGTGCAAACGAAGTTCAAATTATTCATCGAATTCACGCCTTATGATGAGATTTTGAATCATCGAATTCGAACTTGGAGTATGGAGTTGGAGAGTTGCCAGGAATTTTTCATGAATGAAATTACGAAGGTAAATTCGCTACTGTGATCTTTCTCTTAATTAATTAATAGCTTTTTCGGAAATTCCTCATATTTACACTTTCGAGTCTAGATTGATCATATCTACACTTTAGAAAGTACTTTGCTAGTTTTGTTTTCTTTCTGTGAGGAGTTCTGCACACAATATTTCCCGATTTTGTGCACTTAGGGTCGAAATGCAAACTTCAACTTGATCGGGCGCTACCCCATCATTTCCTAGGGCTCGGCTGTTAGGCGCAAAAATCCTTTGGGTAATAAAAAGGCTACCTTGCGCATCACTGGTCCTACAATTCATTATTCACAACCATATACAATCACTCACCATCACGGGAACAATCAAATGTCATCATATTTTTGGATGTAAATTGCACACGTGGCGCAAATGGGTATTCATCAGCGCTGAGAGCTTTACCATTTCTAAGTTTGAAGTAATGTTTGATCATAGTGAGCCTATTTTTGGTAGAAACCTGTCATATAACCCGTACTACTCATTCCATTGTCAGTTGGTTTAACGCAATGCATATATTTTTTTGTTTTACCAGTTCGATACATGTTTTTTCTTTTCGGAACACTTCTTTCTCATATTACTTCTCTGTATACGATAACGGGACTAAGAAAATTATTCGACTTGATCCTAGGTGTTGTTCGGGTCATGTGAAGCCGAAGATTTCTACGTCAGTGCTGGTTCAGCTCAAATTCAAGAGATGATATATCTCTAGGGAATATTCCTTTTGCCAAGAAACTTATACGAATTTAGTCTAACTCTATTCACTTGTGTGTGGGCCGCCGCATGAGGAATATTCTTGCTGGACCGAGGAACAAAAACTCTTTTTCATTTGTATTTCATGAAATTACTTCTATATTTTTGCCAAGTCTTTACTTTACGCGTGATTTTTTCCCATGTTTACGCGTGCAATTCTCAGAACAGTCCTAAGTTGGGGAACAAATAAATGTCTAAGGAATTTTTTCTCATCCCGCCAGATTCTCTACTCGGCCCATGGGCAAATGCGCGAGTAGTTCCCATCCAAGGCTAGTTTTTTTTTGTTTCAAAGTGGTCCTCCTTCATCGTCATTGCTTACGTCGAGAAAGTGATGTTTTCTTCCTCGAGTCAAAAGAGAACCGTTGAAACTGTTATCTTATATGTGGTGGGATGTCGAAATTCAGCAATGGCAGCTCAAGATAGCACTCCTTTTTTCCGTCAACATGTCATTATTCTTCTCGTCAGGATTCAGAAAAAAAGGCGAGAGCATTGTTCATGAGGCAGTAACTAATTGAGTGCTGTGACATTGAACTATGAGCAGTTACGTTTTTTTCTAATGAGTTATTTGACTTCTTTTCTGATCATCATTAGGTTTTTGGGTAAGGATCATTATCTAATAGTTGCACTTAGAGTTGTGCACGTGCGTAACAGGCGTTGACAATGCGTTGCAGGTTGAATAAATGTTCAAGTATAAGATCAACGTATATTTACTTTTATGAAAACTTAGTATGCATTTGATGGCTTTTCGATTCCTCCAACAGTAGTGAATTGTTTAGGAGTACGAAATCCATCATGGTGACGGTATGGAAAAGCCGATGCCGTTAACCCGCGTGGGAATGCCACAACAAACGATGGCGTGCCTGTCAATGAGTCGAATATTGGAGCCGATGCAAATGCTCATGAGTCAAAGTAAAACATCCGGTGTAAGTTTTTCCTTTAGCTCTGCATTTCGTGTATGCTTGAAATGGGCTTACAGTGGGAGTAAAATAGAAGCAAGGTGTTTATATCAATAATTTATGTTTCGAAGTGCCCTGTTCCGGCTTTAGGTACTTATGTAGTGGCGCTGTGCGACTATTGCGCCCACGAAAAACGCGATGTTATGCGCGTAAGTTATTTGCACGAGCAGCCATGCCAAAAGTGTTAGAATTCGGCGTATTATCTACCAAAACTTCTCTCATGTTCGTATTCGCTGATTGTTTCCAGAGCAAGATGTTAGATGATATTTCTGATCGGTTTGGGAGGATTTCTGTAGTGAACTCGAAAACTCCGCTCGTAGACTTTCGGACTTAGGGTCGTATCCCAATCGTTTTCTTGCAACAATTGTAGCAATGAGCAGGCTTACTGCAAGCAAGGAACCAACTTTCTTTATGAAAATGAGAATTTTTATGCAAGCACCTTCAAGCAACTTCTGAACCATTCACTCATTATGAAAAAATTTCGCTGACCAAGACCGTCGTCACGCATCGCGTTATCGCTTGTCCGTCGCCGAGTGTGACGGCGGTCCAAGTATTATGCTATCATATGGAATGTGTGCGTAGCTTTTTCTCTGATACTGCAGTGGTGTATTGAACCGCATTGTCACAGTGTTTCACTATAAAAGAGACTAGACTAGAGTAGATCCGCCTATTCCAAAGGCAGTATTCACAACGAGGAGTAATGAAGAAATTTTTTGTTCGTTGCCATCGTGCGACTAAGGACTTTCTCACAAAATCTAGTGAAACCGCTTGTTGGTAGGTGGAGGAGAATTTTGCTACTTGTATGGGATCCATTTGTCTGCTTTTTGTGGCATATATTGATCATGTTAAAGAAAGTTTACGAACGATTTGTTCGACTCTTCCAAGCCATTCCACAGAGCGATGTGAAGTTGTGGCGCAATTGCAATGATATGGGGATATCAGTGAGTAGCACCTGCGAAGTCAGTTGAAGACTGCCTGATGAAATCCTTCTCCTGTACTTGTGCATCGATGTGCCTCAATGTTTATGCGTCATTATTAGTGAATCAGATCTGGTTGTTGCATCGCATGTCTAATTATGGCCCTGATTTGACGCTCAGTCTCTCTATGCACGCTGAGTGCATAATGAGTACGTATCCATGTTCTAGATTCTTTCGTTTTTTCGAGCAATTCCTTTTTGAAACACATGCCGGCGAGGCTCCATGAACTACCACGAAACTAAGTCAGGACTAATAAAAGATTGGTTCCTTCTTCAACCCCACCGTCTTTCTTACTCTGCATCTTCCTCAATGGTTGCTATCTCCCCGTGGGTCACATGCATCGCAAGGTGAGCTTTGAGACCGTAAGGGCCCCTCTATGTTAAGTGCTTCGAGGTGAATAAGGAGTGAGCCTTTTGTATGAATGTGACTGGTTAGGTGTATATTTAGGAATCTCAATCGCACTGCCTGTCATGTGCTATGATAAAAGGCCTAAATCGGGACTTCATTGGGTGCCCCTTTCCGGTTCATCAGTTGCTGTTTTCTGGACTGTCGTCCGCTATGAAAAAAATCCTTTGATTTGCGCACTTAAACTTGTGACGGTCGGATGGATGAAAGACGTTCCCTCATACAAGTATTGGCGGCTCGAAAACATTTGCTGGTCCTGTACACCCACTAGTTCATCTTATCAAATTGATCAGGGAGTGGTCATTTTCTCCTATATCACCGGAGAATTTATAGATCCCCATTATGTAAGCTCCTCTGCGCAGTGGAAAGTTTGTGCAGATAAGCTCAAAGGAACGATATATTTTATTAGCAATCAATTTCTTCCTTGGTATGTTGCTCAATCGCCCTCCCACGAAGTCGACCTAATCATCACTCAACAAGTTTTTGTACTACACGGTAAACGAGGAGTGGGTCTTAGGTAGCACCTCCAGCAGAAGTCATGCCGAAGAATGTACTTCTGTGGGTGGGATAGAGTAGACCACGAGTATCACAGATGTGCTGTCGTATCGGCTCGAAAGTGCGCGACAATGGCGCTAGGGTCTTACAAAGTGAACTTATGGCGACTAATCTTAACGTTTGGACGAGTTACGTCGCGCACACCCATGACACACCAACGTGGATTACGGCGTAGCGGCTAATTCAAATACGCGCGGGTTAGTTGAGCCGTGGAGCAGGCAAGTTCGTACAACTCGTCTGGCCCCGCCCCTTCCTTTTGAGGAGAAATTTTTTAGGGTACTATCGACGGTTTTCTTTGCTCATTTTTCATTTAATCAGGCCGGCATTTACAACGCCATTATCAACCACTGTGACCCTACAAATTTGATCTGGAGATGTTTCTTTGAAGGAACCGCGACCGGGCCCGTAACGGCTTAGCAGGACGTGTGTTTCTTTCGCGGCGCAACGCCCACAGGTTGGCTATCACAGCTGCTGGTCTTTCTCCGCCGGACTCTAACCGTTTTAGCAGAGAAACCTGTAAGCGTATATGCTGATCTCCTCAGCATCCGTAAAACTCGCCCCTAAGCGGAAATCAATGGGGAAAACAAGGGCGCCGCTTTGCGAGATTCAGGTCGTTTCGCTTAGCATTTTCTTCACGGCTGCGCTTCTTAGCACCTCTACTTTCACACCTAGTAAGCGACCAATTTGTCGTATCATTTGCTACAAACTCAGTTTCCAATTTGTGTTTCCGCCTGGGATGAAAGGAACCCAGCATCCTCGTTATAGCATTCGAATCGCGAACTGTCGCGAAAGACAGTAACGAAACAAGCCAGATCGAATAGTGTTATCGAGCCATAAATGTCGTAAATAATCAAGATGGAAGGCATTTCTCCCAACTCCTTCGGGGTAGAAGCTGAGCTAGTTAAGGCTAACCGTCTCTGCTCACTCTCGCACAGCTTTAGTTTAGGTGATATCCTGATTCAAGATTTCTGGGCAGTGCCTTGTTCTAGTGGTGAAGTGAAACAATCTTATGGTAACTCTGATTGTTATAACAAACCTGTGTTGCAGTTGTCACCGAGGGATGCGATGACTCGAACTCTTTTTGCTCACCATACGAAAATGCAGCAGCAACAGCAGCAAATGGCCATGCAACACATGAGTAAGTTTCGAATACTGTAAAAGTGCCTTTTGTGGCGTGATTTCAGTCCTGATTGCATATTTCTATGAATACGCTTCTGATGATGTGCTTTTGAAATCTGTGCGCCTTTTCAGCTGCTATAGCAAAGTTCTTCTTTGTGCCAGTTAGAATAGGCTTTTGAATGAAATTTCCGCCAGAGAAGTGTTTATGGTAATCATGTGAAGGCGCAGCTCTTTAGCCCATTCAGCTCCCGTTAGCCCGCGCGAAGCGTTACTGAATGAAATCAGTAACCATTCACGTCGCCGCCCTTGACGAACGTTGTTCACAACATTACTTGCGCAGTGTGTGCGCTGAAGCACCTCCAAGTGATGTGTCATTTTCCTTACCTTTATAGCAGCTTATTTTCTTGTTGTATTAGTGGCGGTGTCCTTTCATGGCTGCTTACTTGTTCCCGTCCTTATGTGAACGTTTATTGATCTAAAGGATGTGCTATAGGTCAACCACCAATGTTGCCGCCGACAACGGTTGAAGAGCAGAAACCGAAACCAGCTCGGAAAAGGCAACGGAAAACAACAACGAATACCAAGAATAAGAAGGCCAATGCTAGTCCCGCACCAACGAATGCAGGATTTCCGGCGAATCCGATGTCTGGCAACGTAAGCCGTTGAATTGTATTTTTTTCGATTGGTTCTAGTACTTCGTATGCCATGGTTAATGTCCTATACTGAAGTTTTAGTTTTCGTCGATGGGTTTCCAGGACGTCATGGTGGTCGGCGAGCCATCAATGATGGGAGGAGATTTCGGTGAAGAGGATGAGCGGACAATCTCGAGAGTCGAGAACACTCAGTATGACCCTAATGCCTTGCAGGTATAGTGGTTGAAAATTCAAAAAGAAACTTCGATTTGACTGTCGACATAAATTGGCCTGGAAGGGAGAAATTTGCGTAACTCGGTTCACAATGTTCGGATCCTAATGAATGAGTGCCACCTATGGCTCTGTGACCTTAGTGAAGGCTTAACATCAAACACCTCTGCGAGTAACGAATGCCTAGTGGACAACTCTAGGATTGTTTGATATTTTGTGAATGTGCACATGTCCTGTTCGTCAATGGGACCTTGATTACCGTGTCAAATTGGTCTTTGTAGGACTAATTGTATTGCGTTACCCGCGTTTTTTAATGATGACTAATCTTCCCTTCGCGACCTTTGCCCTGGAATTACGCTCGAGTCAGTCTATTTCAGTACTGGAGAAGCTGAGGTGTAGCAGATGTAAATTCTATTGAAAATTACACCACATGATATTTTTCTCAAAGAAGTAACACGTAGAGAGCAGTTATACTTAGCTTCAGAAAACCAGAAAAACGTCGAGTGCAGACCACACACCACAAGTGACGACGGCCTCCACAAAATGTAAATGTTTTCTGCCAATGAAATGATTAGCCTGTTGCAGTTGTATTCTATCAGTTGTCACTAATTACAACTCATTTACCAACTATCAGCTATCACTATGAATCACTAGTTACAAGATTTACTTGGAGGCCGTCGTCACTTGTGGTGTGTGTTCTGCACTCGACGCTCTTACGGTTTTTTGAAGCAGAGAATATATCCATTTTTGCCAAATGCCAACAGCTACATGATTGACATTTCCTGTGAGAAAGAAGAGTTTAAAAGAGGCTTAGTACTAGATTCTGAAGGAAGGTGAAAGCGAAAATGGTGAGCGGACAGCATACATGGGTTAATTTTAGCACTGTCTTATTTTCCCTCGATCCATTGGTGCTGAACTTTCCTTAACCAAATAAAGTGCCATGGCATTAAATTGCCTTGTTTGATGTTTCACGTGAAAGCTTGTAGTGTAGGAATCTGTTGTTTATTGCCTTGTTATACTCCTTTTTTTGGATAAGAAGTGCAGAATAACGCATGCATGAGCCGCGACATTTTTTGATCTTGTTGTATTGGAGCATTGTTCTTGCGCGTTGGCATAGATGAGCTTTTTGAAAAGAGGTCATTAGTATCTGTAATAAAGCTTAGTGGGAATATACAAGAGCAGTAGGAGGGAATATACGAGGGTACCGTAGAGCTATGGCTAGTACAAATCTTGCCCTTGCTCTCGTCTTTGCACAGTCATCACTTTCACATAGTTGAACTCAAGGGATGTAGAGAACAAAGTGGTGATATTCTTCTCTCGTTTCAACATCAGCCCCGTTTTGCATTATGATTTAGGTGGAACAAAAGTGCTGTCAGCTCTAGAGAAAACTTTCAATCTTACAACATGCTCGTCACGGGTGAAAAAAAAACCCTCATTTCCTGTCAGATTTCCGCAGTATCTTCCCATGGCCCTGCCTTAGTCTCGCTTAACTCGGTCGAATCCCTGAATTATGAGAAGTTTTCTGTTGAGTATCAATTTCATGATCCCTCCAACAACAGTATGACTTGAGCGTCGGAGAAGCAAATGTAAATTTATGAGTAGTTTTGATTTAAGCAACTCGAAAGGTTCAATCACTGAGTATCAAAAATGTTGATGAACTTTGTTCCTGTGAAACACCACAATTTTTCCATTTCAGCTCCAGATGCAGTCTTTGGGTCAAGGAGGACACATTGGTGGTCCAGGCATGAGCGGTATGCAAGGTGGTCCTCCCATAGGACCAGGCGGTGCCTCGCAAATGGGTGGCACAGGTCCTCAACTTGTTCCCGGTGGGCCACAAATAGTACCACCAGGACCGATGGGGCCAGGTGGTCTGCCCTTAGGTCCAGGATTATCGGGTGGTCCTAATCAGCAGCTGACGCAATTGGGCCAACCACAAAATGGTCATCCACCACAAGGTTCGTATTTTGTAAACTAGCCTTATGATTTGGAATTGCTGAATTGTTATTTGTTTACTGTCCTGATTTGTGCTTTCTTCAGGATACGGGTATAGTCAGCCGCAGCCTGGCGCTTGGTCAAATCCGTCGTCAAATACAACTTTGATTACAGGATAGAGAATTTTTTCTAGTTAGGTTTGTTACTTTGGTGTTTTTGTCGTCAAATCTATTTTTTATTCATATTTGCTGCACGAAAAATTTATTCTAACTACATAGAATTTGGGGTTCCCTCAAGTATTGACATATAGGTATCCTTTAATAAATTCCCATATTCGAGTAGATTACCATCATAATTGGTGGTTCTCAATATGGCGCGATATTGGTGCCATAGGTAAATTCTCTATACATGCTGCCCATATTTCTGTTTTTTAAACATAATTTCATCACTTTGTGGGTCTTAACTACGCGTTCCCCAAAACATCGTCCCATGGGATCCATCAGCTGCCGTAATTTTTGATTAGGGCAAACTTTTGAAGTCCCTGACTGCTGATGAACTCAAATCAACTTTAATGACTACTAAGCCAATCGTATGTGTACCGACTAAAAATAAGGTGTCGGGTAAACTTTTTCGACATGTTAGTGCGACTTTTCTTTTTGGAATTGACAAGCTCCAGGGTATTAAGTATGTCACACTCATACTAAAAATGTTCGATATGGGTATGGTTTCATGTAACTGTCCGAGCAAGTAAAGTTCAGGTCGTTCTGTAAACCATGAGCCATGGTGTATTCACATTTTCAATCCTTTTCCTACTTTGCTTTCCGATGCAACATTTTGCGTTCTTGTTCGAATGTCTGGGTATCTAGGTTTTCTGTTTTTTGAGATCCCCTGCCGTTACTTGTAGCTCTGCGGAATCTTTTTCTATGATAGCAGAGAAAATCCTGTTATCGTACTTTTGAACAGTTATATGCGGGTTATTTCGGCGGATACCCTTGCTCTTAAAGTATTGGCTCTCCATTAGGCGATGTTGGACCGATGCGGAGCTGGACTTGCAAATGATTCGAGGCCATCGAGTAGTTCATTTTACGCTGTTATCTGCCACTTGTGTATATCTAGCGCGCACCAATCACTATTAGTAGTTTTTTGTTGTCATCTGTTGCAGACAAACATATGTTCTGGGTCCTTGTCGGTTGGCCCGCGAGTGGGAACCAGGGTCGGTCCTATCGTTGCTACTTTTCAAAAAGTTTTTACGACCCCCCTCCCTCATGAAATGTTTCATACGACCCCCTCTTTCAAAACAATTTTTACCCCAAAAAATTACCGTCGAGCGGGGGGTATATACTTACCATAAAACCGCAAAAATTCCCTACATTTCCCTACAATTTCCATATTTTACCCATATTTCAACTGCTCCATTTTCTAGGGGGGTATATACGCGCGCTGAAACGGCAAATTTTCTCCCGCGCCGCTCCCCACTCATCACATGCAACTTCTTACAACCGAAGCAAGTACGACCCCCCCTCTACAAACTCATCAAAATACGACCCCCCCGTTGCTACTTGTAGCAACATAGGGTTGACCCTGGTGGGAACATCTGGGAGCCACGATTAAGCCTTTGCTATGCTAATGAGATTGCTCATTATAGGGTCAGTATGTGTTGCTTCCACCTTTCCTCTTCCCCCACAATAAAGGTTATTCTTCTCTTGAGTCACTCAGTTGGTGCATCAGATTCCGCGGAGGAACATGTCTACATTCCATATACATAGAATGATCCTTTACATTGTTCACTCTGCTTAGATAAATGATTGTTACAAGTGCGTTCTTTAAGAAACGTGGTGAAAGCTTTGTTCACATGACAACAGCCGTTACTAAGAAAAACTAATCAGTTAAGCGGTGAAAGTACTTTGGTGCTCGCAATTTATACTTCCGCTCTCGTATCTATAGGAGGGGAAAGAGAAAAAGGCAAACAAATCGAAAAGAGAAGATGGTCTGGAAACAATCTCGTTCTTTTGGAATTTTTCTAGGTTATGGTTATGTTCAGCGCTCATCAGGAGGATATGTTGTACGTCTTTCGGGGCCTTTGTAACACGTGACTGCCTTCTTTGGCGCAAAGTATCGCTTTAATGCTATTAGTGCTTTTCCAGAGGATTTTCGAATAATTTTGTTTTGTACTCTATAAAGACAGTGAAGTGCAGTGAACGCTTCTGAACCCTTGAGTTTCAGAGAGAAACTTTCTCTGAAAGAAAGAAGAAAGAAAGAGAAGAAAAAAGAAAGAGAAAGTTTCAGAGAGTTTTCAGAGAGTTCCCTCTACGTTTCGTTCTTGTGTAGGCAAATTAAATGCCGCTAGCAAGAGCAGCACGTGAAAACCAAGTGTGCGCTCATGATGCGGCCATTTTGGTGTCGTCGCATGAGAAAGATATTCACTTGTATTCTGCGTGAGCCAGGCACGTTTTCGCGAGCGCTGTCGAGAAACCGAAAAAAAAAACTGAAGAATCCTAGATAAACACTGTCCAACTATTTTTGGACCATCTCATTCAAAATTGTATTCAGCGTGATCTATAGAATTATCCCCAACCAATCAAGAACGAAGTCTTGCATATAGAAAAAATGGATGATAAATGAGTGTGGTGCTGGAGGGTACCACGCTGTCCCACGCGGCCCGCAAGGTTTGGTATCTTTTGGAAATACGTTGTTGTCAAGGTCTCAAAGGAGCTTGAGCGTTTTAGTTTGCCTGTAACCGAATTCCTTGACTAAAATGTTATAGTCATGTGTTACAGTTAGCCAAAAGGAGGCAATTTGTCGTGACGTTCGGTGCTTGGATCGCGGCCCATGTGTCCGTCCGCCAGTGCGGTTCATTAAGATTCGCAGAACCAATTGCTATTCACATCTTCCGTGTCATCACTATTACTACTTACTCTGTGATGTCCTCCCGTCATTTTATATTTGTTTGTAAACTTCTTTTTATTATTTTCTGGCATTTTTTCACTTTCATTTGTTACCCTCCCCCAGTTGTGCTAGCTTGTGGGTGAACGAAGTTGTTTCATTTTGTTCTTTTTTTGGAATTGATAATCATCTAGTACATCGTTTGTATATCGAGCACAGCATTTATTCAACGAGATACCTAAATTTATATTGTTTCATTTTTTTTGGGGAACTTGGTTCCTCCCATCATTCTGTTTTGCCTCACGCCTTTGATGCTTTGTAAAGCGTAATTCAGCAGACGAACTTTCTCCATGTTTTCTCTCTATCTCTTCTTGTTATTTCTTTCTTTCTCTTTTCATTTTGCTTTCCAGATTAATGTGTTAAATTTCAATACAGAAATGGTCTCTGACTAACGTGATTAATACCAATCCCTGGATTGTTCCCAAAAAGAACTCCCCACCAACGTGATGTGTGTGATGCCCGTTATCATTACCATTTACAAAACCAATCGTCATCTGCCTGATTTGTTCAACCACCAGTTGTATATTTGATCTCATTATCATTTACCTGTTCCCCACAACGGTATCTTGTGATTGTAATTTATAGATTTGTCTAGCGCACCAGAAACGGTTCGTGTGCGATAATCTACGCTTTTATCAAATGTACAGACGAGATCTGTTTTAAAATAATATGCATAATAAACCATGTATGCTAATGTGATGGTTCAGGAACTACGTGTTTATAATGGTTTTTCTTTCTTAATTACCCATGTAGGCCAACGTAGATACCGTAACAAAGGCACCAGAGTGAGCCAAGGTCGCGAGGATAGGTTGAGGGGCATACTCTGGGGAGAGGATTGTATTGGGTTGATTGGAAGTGTATCTTCGGGAGAGGGAATAGGACTTCAAGCAACAATACCAGATCGAATTCGCGAGATAAGAGCGGTATACGATGAAATTGTGGATAGCGGTTGACTGCAAATGAAAAGGGAAACAAAGAAAACCGCCGATGACTCCCCCTCCTCCTTCTTGAAATAAGGAGGGGGTGGGCCGGACGAGCTGTCCGAACTAGCTTGCTCCGCCGGCATTTATTGCTGGCTCGTGCCAGCAAGAAATGCGGCTGCAATCGCATATGCACCAATACAAACAGAGACATATGCATCAATACAAACAAAGAAATACGATAATTAAACGATTTAAGCAAGTAAAACCAAACAGAAACATTCGGCATTCCTTGAAATGCAGAGTAGTTTACACGCAATCGCGCAAGGACCACGCAGCCAATCACGGATATTTCTCGCTAGCAAGTGGGCGGAGAAGCGGGACAGGCGGAAAAATGGGGTTGGCACATATCCAAGTCCCTTCGACGGTAACTTTCTTGTTCGGCGACACTTGTTCTTGACTAGCGCTCACACATCTTTTTCACCCCATTAGTAGCAAAAGTATGGATCCCGCTGGGACTGTTACTTTAAGGAGACTTATGCTCAAGCCTGGAATTAAGCATAAGCTCAGTCTTATTCCTGCTCGGAACAAATCAAAGGTGACCTGACTCGATCGCTAGAATCGATGTTCACCCCCCCCCCCCAAAAGATAGGGTCGCTAGAAGTGAGATGCTCTTTCAAACTGGAAAGCGATCGGTGAGGACACCAGTATCAGCATGGAATGTTTCTGTCATTCAGCCACCCGAAGGCGACGCTCTCGAATAAGGCAAAAAAAATTAGAATCAAAACTCTTGCTTTCGCGACAGTACGTGAGGGGTGTAACATTCGAGTGCTTCTCAACAATCAACTGCGAACGAGTGCATGGCACACCCCAAAGCAGAAGAGTCTTCTGCAGAAGTGATATGTGGCTGTTCACGCGAGACCCTTCAAGTGGAAGAGGGTCGTAAGAGGTTCGAAATCGAGTGGGTGTATGCCAGCAGAGTCGTTTGGACCCCGCGCTAGTCGTCATGGCTGCGACGTTGCAACTGCAGTGGACGAGTTTCTGTGTGAACGTTAGAGGAACGCTCTGTGAACCGTCTCTTCAACATTCAACTTCAATCAATGCGCGCATAGTTTCAATTCCTTCAAACTTTTTTCTTTTTGTGTTTTTCAATATTACTATTATGAAATCGAAAACAATTTTGTTCACGCCACTTTCTATGAAAAAGCCAGAGCATGGGAGTTGGAATTTGGTATCCGCGCCCCACAGAGATTATTGTGGACTGCAGGAAATTCGCTGCTCCTACCGTCAAATCCAAAAAATCCCGCGCCCCTCGGAAAAATGTCGCGTCGCGACGCCGCCCAAGTGGCCGCGCGCGGCGGCGCGACGACTGGACGATTCCGTTGACCGTTCCCTACTGAGAGCTGGTCCCCGATTGGAGAGATAGTGGAAATCAGAGAGGCGAGACTGTCAAACGAGGGATCGACAAGAGTTTCCATAGAATAACTTATTACAACCGTCGCAACGTGTAGATGTCTCAAAAATTAGGAGCAGTATTGTACACCAGTTTCTGGGGCAAGCTTTAAAGAGAGCAGGTTACCTCCTACGGTGAGCTGATCAAATCGGGTTGTTAAAAATCAGACCGCTAGCGCAAGTCATAAAACTATTTCGCGCGTGTCAACTGGTTGATGACACCTTGACCTAGTGTTTGCATACTGCGTCACTCACAGGCAGGAGATTTTTTCCAAGTCCGACTCACAAGCGGGGATGAGAATCTATGACTTTGACATCTTGCACAATGAGTAAGAACGCTTCTAAAATATTTCTGTAATTACCTAAGCTAAGCAGTAAGGGAACTGGTCCAGGAGGCAAAGATACCTACACTGCTGGATGCGATCTTGAATCTATCAAATCTGCCAGCAAATTTTCTGGGCGGAGTTTAAAATCAAATTAGAGCAGCGGTAGTGGTCCGCGCTCACGGTTGAGTGGTGGTAGGACCAAATCACTGACGGCCTGTTTCTTTTGCCTTTGCGGCAACATGGTTGAAAAGGCTATAAGCTACATTATTGATCAGCGCTTACTTATACTTAAATTTACAAAAGATTCACGAGGAGTTCCTAACAAGTTTGGGCGTTATTAGCTTACGACTACACTTGGAGCCCACAGAACACTCCACGACGCTTCTGCAGCGGAGAGGTGTGATATTCGTCCTCGGATATGAATATACCCTAGGGGTTAATTTGTAGTCAAATCACCGGCCAAGGAAACGATCTTCCGACCGTGAGCCCGGACCACCACTCCTTCTATTTTCATTCATGTGTAACTCCGTTCAGAAAATCGATTTGGCAGATTTGGAAAGCAGATTCGAGATCAGCGTCCAAAAACACATCCAACAGTGTAGGTCTCATTGCATATGGCGACTTCGACCATAATGCTTTCCTGTCAAGCTAAGCTTTTAGCTAGCCACTGAAGTGAGCACTCTTGGTTACTACTCTTATTGCTGCATTTTTGACAATAATAGAATCACTATAGAGTTCCATGCTGAATTTCAAGCCTTTTGTGGAGCACTTATAGACTCCGAATTTGGTGAACCCTTCTTAATGTCCAGATTCATATGGTTTCGTATGTTGTTATGGAATTAGGTGGAGGAAGATAGGCAAAGGAGAGCCTCGAAGCCTGGGATGCTCTACGATCGAAGGTGCTCCAAAACGCTCAAATGGAGGGTGTACAGTGGTGAGACCTGCGACGCTATACGGAAGCGAGTGCTGGCCCCAGAACAATGATCATGGAAGTCAGATCACCCCATGAAGAAAGCTGAGTGGCTTCGAAGTGCATAGTCAGCGATGTTGAGGAGCCTGGAAAGGCGTCTTCTAGAAGCGGCCACGGCAAATACCTTGGATAGAACAAAAAAGGGACCTGAGAACGCCAACTAACCTGGCGATTGCGCGGGACTAGCGCTGGGGATAAGTGGAACGGCGTGAAGAGCTCGTCCTTACCATATCCCCTCAGCGAGCTGAGGGGTCTAGTCCACCGAAAAAATTTAATGAAGTCATCATGTCCACACCTTTCTCCAGCCACCGTGATTACTGCTTTTGACTTCCATTTCTGACAGCCACTAATTTATTGAATTATCTTCCTATATCATAATGCTCCTTTTTAGAGCTCGTAATGTAACAGTGAATGGTTCATTACGAAGTTGTGAATTCTGACGCTCACTCAAGTCCGAGATGAGTCTTGTCAATTTGCGTCACAGGGGATATGTGTGGTCATTAATACCGTAGAGTTCACCAAGTGAATTTCGACCCCGTAGCAGGTCATTCGGGTTCAGGTCATTCGGGTTGTTATAAAAACTGAAAACAAACTGAAATCTCAACCACATTCCATCAATGTTAAGGTATATAAGGCAATGTTAGCAGACTAGTAGCAGCTACAGAATTGGCTACTGACGCTCCTTCCTAATTTTTATGGTATTATTATAGCAGATTTTAGTTCTATTCCAGTTAGGGGGCATCATGATGCAGTTTTTCCAGAAAGCTACGGTAACTCCGAGCCAGGGGGAGTGTAGCCAGTCTAGGGGGTGGGGGGGTGAGGGCAGTCACTTGACATGCGTGAAAAGCTGGAATGTTCGAGTTCACACTAGTTCGCCGAGAAACTGCATCATGATGCCCCCTAACTGGAATAGACCCTAAATTTTTTCTTTGTCGAATAATTCTGTTATAAGACGTGATTGATGTAAGGCATTTCAGATGCTCTTCGTATGGCTTGCATTGTTCGCATTCGTGGCTGCAAAGAGCTACAATAACCAGGCAGGAGGATATGAGACGGCTGAGCAGAAACAACTCAAGCCCAATAAACCTATGTCGGCAGACAGTGGAGATCAGCAGGCTTATAACTCCGATGGAGCCGTTCCTCTTCCTCCCCCTCCCCCTGCACCGAACAGCCCTGCAGTTCCTCCACCCCGTCCACTGCCTCAATCGGGACCCGTAAGCAAACCGCCGTCACCTCCTTCATCCCGACCACCTTCTCCACCTTCCGCAGCAAAGCCCTCCAGACGGGCACAACTTTCCCAAACGCTATCTCCAGTGGCGTACAACTTCTGATCTTTGTAGACACACTCACTTTCTAGCCCAATGTCATCATCATGCTGAGGGACAGCGTAGCCATTACGCAGAAGATCGTGCTATACTTCCAGAAACCTCTATTAATTTACGATCTCCGTCTCAGCAACTTCACGTGCTAGCCTTATTAAAAGACTGTATATTTTCTTCTTTCTCATTATTTTGATGTCCCTACAAGTCGAAATTTGTTACTTATCTCATTAATTTGCATCGCTGGTCCTGTACTCATCCTTGGGTGTGCCCTTAGGTCAAAGTGCAAGCATCGCATTGGAGGCTCCGCTTCGTTGTTCGCAAACGTATTGTACTCAATTAGCTCTCGCATTCTAACAATACTGCCATAGGCAAACTGCCACAGCAAGCCGCAGTGACTTATGAACACAAGCCGTAATACAGCTTCACTTACGCTCTCGTTTTAACAAGGATTTGTTGTTGAGGTATAAATTTGTTTACAAATTTCTGAAATTTGAGCTGTGCTTCGTTATTGTCAAACAACAAATTCTTAGCCCTTACAAGGTGGGGGAGGTCTTTCAGGGCAAAGCCACGCTTTCTGGAGACGTTTGTTGCATATGTAGGGACGCATGTGTAGACCACGAAACCATGTTTCGTTTACGCTGAACGGTTTTAGCAGTATGCATAAAAATGATATACTCTCAAACTAAGATTAGGTCAAAAGTGATACCAATTTGCACTCGAGGTCCCGCGGTAAATTTTGCAATCAAGGTTGGCGGCCACTTGTTGGCTTCAAAATGGTCCTGACGATGAATTTGACATCTGATTTTGACATTTAGCGCGATTTGGCACCAAACCGTAGGCGCCAACCCAAATGCAAAATTTAGTCGCCACGGGGGATCGAACCCTTAACAGTACCTTATGCTTCTTTTTTGGTACTGCTAAACCGTTCAGCGAAAATGAAACATGGTTTTGCGTTCCCTACATGCGTCCCTACAATATGCACAAAACCGTTTTGAAAAAGCGTGGCTTGCCCTGAAAGACCCCCCTTGTTAGACTATGGTTTTTTGAAATGAAGTTACCGATGTGGTTTGCGTGGTAAGTGTCGTTACCAGCAGCAACTCGTCATCTATGGAAATTTGGATGGCGTACTTCGGATTTGCCTGAGATTCGATCTAGGGGCCAAGCGCGCGGTAGCGGCCCCTCTTGTTACCACACCATCCTGCTAATGAACATTTTAAAAATATGATTTGGCATTTTAGTCACCATTTCCAAGTAAACATTTCAGTATTAAAAGTGCGCAAAACCTAGAGATTACCTTTTTGATTCGCACACAAACCCGTAACCTTGCGGTACGACTTGCTCCGGGATGACTCGCATTGAGTTGCGACAATTTGTCGCTACAAATGAATCATAAGCTTTCTATTTGGGCACATTTCCGCCATCAAACGGGCATTCCTGTCGCGATAAGTCCCTAATCTGTAATTGTGCTTTTGAGTACTAGTGGTACAGATGTCTGCCAACTGTACTCAAAGGGTAGAGAGTCAAATGCGAATTCAGTAGAAAGTCCACAATCATCATTTCCAACTGCGTGTTCAAGATGGAAGTGGCGATCGTTTCTAACACGAAAATTGGCGTTTTCAAGGCCAGCGTTCGATTTCAGAGCCTCGATGTTGTACTCATAAGTTCCGCCGCAAAAAGCATTATTTTCATGCACAGTTTATTTCATCTCATATAAAGTTCCATCATTTACAAAGTTGTGAGAACAGGGACTGTAATCTCGTTTGCCACTAAAACGTTGAGGAAGGAAAAGCTCGAAAAATCTTCCATGGTCTCGTGTTTTTTCCAGGCTGATTCAAAGGTCAATCAGCTGAGCTATCGTCTTCACGTCATAACCAAAATATTCTGGAGCACCAAGCTTCTCTTCGATAGCTTGGGTCGCGGCATTGTAGAGAGTATTGCAGTGATCATTCAAAGTCATGATCAAGCTCCGCACACTCCGGAAGAGGGGTGAAAAGAATTTGAGTAAGGTGAAGGACTTTCTTGAGGACGATTCGGAAGCTTTTTAGAATTTTTGTGAGAATCAGGAATGTCTTCGGGAATTTCGTCTGTCCCAAGCTCACTTACTTTCCGTAGAGCTTTAAGGTGAAGCGTGCTCCAGGTAGGATATGGGAATGGTCTATAACACAGAGTTTCGAGGGTGGGAACCCAGCTGAGTCATGGAGTAGACTGTATGGCCGCCAAATTTCTTCACTAGAAGAATTTGCAAGATTCGCCTGTTTTCGAGTTTCTAAACTTTCACGACCAGCTCGTGTAAAATCGTGCTGTTCTATTGGGTTGTCTCATAATTCCTGTCTCATTTCTATTCAATTTCAAATTTCTTCCGTCTAAGACCGTTTCATTGCGAAATACGTTAGTATGTTGAAGTATGCTTCAAGAGCCTTAACAGCGTGGTTTCGAAGCGCAAGCCCGTAACGGGTT